GCGCCGGGGCGCTGCGGCAGAGCCCCTCGCCGAGGGGAACGAGGGCTCGGCAGGCGGGATGCGCCCGGGGCCAGTGAAGGCGCTGCGGGCGCTGGGCGTCAGGATCTTGGGGAAATGAGCAAAGTTAGGCAGGCGTTCGAAAAACAGGGAAGACGGACTGCGTTTTCCAGGAAAACGCGCTCCGACCTGTGCGAGGTGAGATGCATCCTGGTGCGGAGCCAAGAGATGTTCGCAGCAGGCTGTTACACCACAGGCAGCAAGCAGGAAAACCCTAAAGCGTGATGATGGGACGATGCAGAATAATCAGAATAAGGTTTCTGGGAAGCCATAGACAGTTTTTCATTAGTAGTAAACAGTAACTAGAGTAGGACAAGCGTTTTCTAAACTTTGCTTATGTCCGCCTCCAAAAGCCACGATAGAGAATGAAAATACCTCAACAAGCTTTGTGCCTGGCTTCATTTCAAGAATAAAACGTATCTGAAGTAGCGCACTGCTAGCCAAACTATCTTTGAGCAAAAAGACATATCAAGCATCTTATGCTATATGATGATCAGGAACTTCTTCAGTGTTATTTCATTATTTTACAGTTTTATGATTATTATTTTCACCATCATTACTGCTATGTTCATGCAGTGGTGATTAAGGTACCTCGGTAGCATTACAGAAATAATCGCTGTTGATTCAAAATAACAATGGCCATTGGTGGCAGTAAGTGGAGTTTCCCTTGTACTTGTGGGGGCAGAGAGGGCAGAGAACAGTGACTAAACTGAGTGTTTAAGCCTCCTGCGGTTAAGAAGGTCTAGTATTTTATTTTATTCTTTCCTTGTTTTTTTTCTTTTTTTCCCTCCTCAATTTTCCACTTCCATTTTTTCTTAAACATTGTCAAAGGGAAAAACAGGTGGTTTTTAGTCCATTGGATGATTGTTCTTACAGCTTTGATCCAACAAGTTACTTAGACACATGTCAAACTTTTATCCCATGATAAGTCCGTGCAATTGCAAAGAGCTTCTGTTGCTTCCAGTGGGAGAGTTCACATGCGCTGAGCTAGGCACTGGCGTGCAGGCCATGATCAGGCACATCCAAACAGTTTCTGCCATTCCCTGGCTATTTGATCCACTGCAGGCCAGCGTGAGCTACTGCTGGCTCCTGTGAATTGCTTCGCCTTCTTATATGTGAGGCAAGCCACAGAACAAAGTACAGGATGCCATGGGATCAGGTCTGGACCAGTTCCTCTCCTGAATAAAAACTGAAACACATCATGCTGACAAAAATCTAAATTCATTACAAGTTTAACTCCAGCCTTTCCTCATTTAGCAAAGTCTCTACAACCCACTGTGGTATAGAAAGTTTTTTCATTTCTAACAGACTGGCTGCAGCTTCCTCTTTGGGATTAGAGTGATTTCAAAGGATCATAAAATAACCAACTTGTTAGAGAACAGCTGATGCGTCCTCATATGAATTTATGACAAAAGCTTAATTTGCTGTGCTGCCCATGTAATTTATTACTCCTGCAAGAACTACTGCAATGGATCTCTTAGATACTACTTTTTGTTGTTGTTGATTCTTCTTCTTTTTCTTTACATTTTTAACTTGGAGAAGTAAATGCAAAAGTTAACTGGAGATGTTCACCTTAATATCATTCCTTTCCAGACTCTACCGAACCTGAGGATATGCCTTTGGAAAGCACTGAAATGACACAGGATCAGCTGCTGAACTATCAGTTGATGTTTCCCATAGGCCAGGACAAATCCATCCCCTGGAATGCCATCACTGCATATGAAAACATGAAAGCAAAGAGAGTATCTGAACTCAAGAAATGGAAAGAGCAGGTGGATTTTCTTTGCAAACCTTTCAGAGACCATTTCAGTAGATGCTGTTGATTCAGAATACGAAATTAAAATGGGCATGAAATTCTAGCAGTAACACTGGGTTGTCAGTATTTTGGGTAGCCAGCAAACAGAGTTTTGGAATGCTTTCATCAGATGCTTGAGGAACAGGCAAAATGGCAGGAGTGATAAAAACAGTTGTGCATCAGATATGTCCTATACAGACTCCATGCAGAGGCTGAATCTTTCCCTGCATTTACTATCAGATTATAACATGGGCCCTTAATTTCCAGGAGCCCATATTAAAATCTTGGACTTCTTTTGTGGTTTAGTTAAAAAATAAAAGGCATTTGTCTCTGGTCCAGTGCTCAGTGAAATAAAAGGGAGACTTTACACACAGTTATTGATGAAACACCAATGCAAACCAAAACGTGTTTCTTTCTGATCACAAGGAAACGCTATTAAGGAGATGCATGTAAAAAGACAGAAAGCTCAGCAATTAAAGTAAGCTTTTACCTTCGACACTGCAAAATCGCAGTGGGTAATGGGGGTGTGGGGCCTTTTGAAGCAGGTCCGTTTTCCACTTGAGGGCACCAGAGAACCACAGTTAGACCAGTCCCAGGCAGCCAGCACACCCGCAGCACGGAGCTAGATTAGAATTGGGCACCACAGAAGCCCAGTTTTGTAATGGTCACAGACAAAATGAAAAAAAAAAAAAAGGCAAAAACCTACTAACCACCACCCCACCCTAGGAAGCCTCATTCCACACCCAGAACAGGACTTAATCACTGATTTAGTTTGAACTATTATACACAACTGCTGTTAGCTCCAGTTCTGATTTTTAGGCTTCTGCTTTTCTCAACCAGAGCCACAGATAAGCCTGTTGTCTTGAATAGGACCACTTATGTGAGGGGCTGACACGGGGAGGTTTTGCAAAAGCAGAGGATATGATTATTTTCACTCTAAAGTAAAAATATTTGTTCCGTCACTTCTCCTCCCCTTTCACTAATACACAGCAATTGTGACTTCGAAAAAGGAAGTGAGCAAATTGTGAAAATAGCGAATATTGCAAACAGTTCTTCATCCCCATTTCTAGGCACTTTGGGTTAGGGTCTCAGAGCCACAGGGGTGCTTTCTATTCTGCTTTGGCGACAGCTCTGTCCTGTACAAAAGATTACAAACATTCAGATGTTTGTTCTTGCACCGTCTATGTATGTCATGCACCTATTCTCCATACATCAACAGAGCGCAGGGCCATGGCAACCCAGAAAACGTGGCTAGTCTCACGTACACCAGCCTCCTAATGTGCACCTCCCCATAATAGGAGAGATTGTAACCTCTGAGCAGTAATGTGTTTACTTAGTACAGGTTAAATTTCCTTGTGTGGCAATTTAAGGACTTAAATCCTCATGTTTCTGAGGACAGAAAATACCTCAAAGAATAAAAACAAAGGCCTAAATGCAACACCAGATTTTTCTGGCTGTGCTCCTACTGAAACAAGTAAAAACTACATGCAAATTAGTGGTGCAGATTTTTATGACTAATGTATTTTCAGCTTTTTGCTAGCTTTATACTGATCATTTTTTGTTTAGCTGGTTTCTTTGTGATTTTGGTATTGACAACCTTTGCATGGTATTCCTTCAGGGACCTTGTCAGAAGGAGCTCTACAGAGCCCTGTATAAATTGGCGAAGGCACAGCAGAGAAGCGGAGGGGAGATTTACAAATTCTACTTGCCCAACTGCAACAAGAATGGACTTTACCACAGCAAACAGGTACGTGCCTTTTGCCCTGTCTGCTCACAGCAGTGCTGCGACTAGCGTGGCACAGCCAACCCTTTCATAGCCCTCTGCTCCCAAACTCACAAGTTTGCAGCTGCTGGAAAAGCAGGTTGTGAAAACATGGATACTTAGTAGTGGGAGCAGATGGTTTGTCCTTCTCTTAAAAGTGAGCCGCATGCTGTGGGCTGACAGCAATGGAGGCAGGAGTCTTTTCCATTCACAGAACAGGTGCACGAAAGGCCTTCTCCAAAATCTTTTAACCCTGTCTGTTCCCAGGCCAAATCAAGCTCCATGTACCTAATTTGTTAGCATATTCCCAGTTGACATTAATTCATAATATCCACCATACTGCCTGCAAAGCCTATTTAATATATAATAATCACTATGGAGAAAGGAGGCTCTCAGCTCCCAGGCAGTGAAAAACTCACACAGGCAGTGAAAAAACTCTCTGGAGCAAAATTAGCCTTCTGAAAGTAGAACAAAAATACTGATTTGTGCTGCCTATGGATTAGGTTATATGCTCATTTCCGCTGTAGCCTCCAAAAAAGCCATTGCAAGTTACACTGAGAGTAATCTGCAAACCTAACTAAAGCTCCAAACCTCAAGCCACACCCTTGTAACCACAGGTCATGCACACAAATTTAGTAGGTCTGCATAAATCTGTGTCACCGAGACTCCTTGTTTTTGGGCATGGCACCACTGTGTGACTCACAAACATTGTGACCTGGGATCTAATCAGGCACAAACAGAAATCTGTTTAGCCCTCTCCCCAAGAAAAAACCCACCCTATTTGCCTCCTTGCATGAAGAGCCAGACCATCCAGTCCTTGCTCTCGCCCTACCAGCTCATATATTCTGCCTTCCTTCAGTTTCTCACGCTGGAAGATATTGCTGTTTTATACTGCTGTTTACCAAGGAGGGGGCAAACTGTTTTAAATCTAAAGTTGCTGTTGTGGTAGCTGAGCTTGGGTCATGGCTCCCTAACCAAGTGTGTTGGTCAGAGGCTCTGTCAGAGCAGGGACCACCGCATTCAAAACAAGCCTGTGCACGGCAGGTCCCCACCTTCTGATCCCAGTTCTGTCCAACACCTCTACTTGCAGTATCTCACAGGTAACCTTCTGCTTACAGTTACTTATTGCGGGTTTTGTTTTGCTAATAATATTCTAGTGCGAAACATCACTGGATGGAGAGTATGCTGGATGCTGGTGTGTCTACCCCAAAAATGGAAGAAGAATTCCTGGATCTCCAGAAATGAAAGGAGACCCCGAATGCCAACAGTATCTCAACTCACAAGAATAAAACTAAACACATTAATTCACACCAAGTTTTCTGTGGGGCCTGATCTAGTCAGGAGACATTTCTGTCAGGAGCCGTTTCAGTAAGGTAGTTTTGTGCACCTGATTTTCAGCATATGAGTAACCCCATAAAGTAGCTTTTTTACTGCACTGGGATTACACAGATGCTCGAGTGACAGATATGAGCAACTGCAAGATCAAGTCCTACAATCTTGTATATTTTGTTTGTATAATATTATAGATACCGCCATATGTAAAGCTGTTGAATTATTTATTTCACAGTACGTGTATTTTTGTCTCTGTGTGTTGTTACTAATTTATATCCTCAAACACTTCATAACTTTATATGTAAATACTTAATATTATTGCTCTTAAATGTATGCATCTTATGTTGGAGGAATGTTGCTACTTAAAACTTCAAATGGCATAACTCTATTGGGAAAAATGGCTTGTAAACTTGCATTTTTGTACTATGTATTTATAGATGTAAAACTGAATTTAAAAAAATAGCTTTCAGTAGAGAACATGCTTAGAAACTTATTTAAAACCTGTTTTGTTTATATATCATGTTGCTTTTGCACCTCTGTTTCAATGTCAAGCTGTTTCTTAAAAAAGAAAGTCTAAACCTTGGTTATATACTGAAGCTCCTGATGGGACAGTATTTGTTTCTATTTTCCAAACATATGCACTGGATAAATGGCAAAACACAACAGGATATTCTGTGCCACCTTTGACAGGTGTAAGTTGTTCACATGTTGACATTGTCATGTTATTTAAGATGAGCTATTAAATAATGTCTTCTACACTGTCCCGGTCTCTTGCTTTCTGCATGTTCCTCTTCAGCAGTCTGACCTCGGCAGGACAGTACAGCGGTGGGTGGGAGCATGGAGGAAAACACGCCTCTTGCAAATCTGCCTCCTGAACCCCTAACTCCATTTTCCTGTGATGAGTTTTCTTCTTTTGCTCTCCCTGCCCCGTTCCCCTTCTCCCATCCACTCCAATCCCAGCTCTGCTCTGCAAACCTTTGGCTTGGGCAAAGCAGCAGCCTCAAAGGTTTTCTGGGTAGGAAGGCTGGATGCCTTTCTCCGCTCAAAAGCCCAAGGCAGCAGTATTAATGCATTTAAAAGATAACACCAAGACCAGAAAGAGCCATTTCCTGCACAGAAAGTCAGAGGTTATAAAAGGGAGGCTGGGGAAAAGCCCAGCCTTACTCTTTTTGCTGAAAGCAGAGAAGAGGGTCCCTTGGCTTGGGATGCGGTCCCCTCCCTCCCCCGCATGTTGCTTCGACTTAGTGGTTGCAGAGAAAAAGAGAGAAAGCAAGTGACTGCCCTCCCGGCTTCAAGCTGGTTTTGTCCATGGAGAAACTGGTGTGGGAGTTAGCAAGTCCCAGAGGTGGAAACAGGCTGCACCAACCCTGCCTGAGAAAACAGCCTGAGAGGAGAGTAATAACATTTTCTAAGAGCCTGGCAGGAGGGAAACGGCATAAAATCCTCCTGCCGTTTGTTGGCACAACCTTTGGGTTTTAAATGGGAGCGGGAAGCAGCTTGTAGAAACTGCAAAGCCAAAGCGTGGAGATCTCTGCTCTCCCTATCAAGGTTCTGTGGCATTGCACGTTGTGCTTGCTGAATGTGTTGACTGTATTTGCATGTCCATGTCAGCTGATCCGACTGGGGTCTAATAAACTGCTCCAGATTTAAAGTATGGATATACTACTGAGCTTCTTTGTAAAGTGTTTTGAGATCTTCCCAAGGAAAGCACTGCAAAAGCAGTTGATGGGATTGGTATTATAAATAATTAACATCTAATCTCCCTGTAATGAGCTACAGTGAGACCTAACTAAAACTGTGTTCACTGTGTCAAAATGCTTGGCAATCATTGTATCAAAATAAGGAAGCGGCAGCAAATTTGGGCAGAACCTTAGAGTCCTTTCATGGAGCCTACCAAGCACTGAACAACTGTCATGCAGCATTGCCAAGGGAAAATGGTGAAGAAAGGAGGGGAAATCATATACTCATAGCTACAGCACACGCTTAAGAGCACTCTGACTGCTCTCACCCCATTGGCCTTGTGTAAAGGTTGATCTCTAAAGAGCAGAAATTGGTTCTTTTTGTTGGTATCATTATATATATAGGGGAAATCTTCATCATGTTAATAATTATTAATAGCACAGTCTATTTGCAGTATAGCAATCCAGTGGACAGCTACTTCCAATGTTTTGCAGGGTGGAAAGTTCCCATCCTAGCTGCAAGAAATTAGAGTTTTTAACAGGGACAGGGTTTTAGGGGAACTCTTTCCTTTAAATGTTAAGTACCAGAAGCAGAAGTTGCTTCGTACAGCATTCAGGCATGACAGGCCAATTTCTTAGAGGGGTTTAGCTCCTTGCCTCCCACTGAAAGCAATAGGGGATGGGTTCCTCCTTATCTGCAATCTGGTCTCTTGTGACATCTTGCCAGGACTCACCAGGACAGACTTCTGCTGAGCTGCTCTGGGATGGGCTGTCTGACTTGGGCCAGCCTCTTCCACATACTGGGTTTAAGACTAATGCGAGGAGGCAAAGGCGGCAATTTTATCTCCCCTATCACAGTGCTGCCAGGAGCTTGGACTACATTTAGGCCGTAGATGCCAGGCATTGTGATTTGTCCTGATTTTTATGATCAGTCTCAGTAACAGGGTGAAAAATCACAGGTCTGTAATTTTCCTTTGTTTTGGTTATTTTTTTCTGTTCGGTGGGGGGTGTGTGGTTTTTTTGGTTTTTTTTTTCTTTTTTGGCATGTGTCAGATGGCAATCCTGGCTTCAGTGTGTGCCTGCTGCAGCGGTCCCACCTGCGCTGGTGAGCTAAGCCTGGTGGGAATGAGTGGGGAAGCAGGGAAGGTGCCACAGGATGCTCTTAGCAGCTCAGGTCACCTGCATGCAGCTGGATGTGTAAAGGGGATGTACTGTTCCTCGTTATTTCAGCTCCCTCCCTTCACACCCTCTTGCACTCCTCCTACTCCACCTAAAAACATTAATTGGTGGGAAGGTCTTAGGTGAGCATCTGTAATGTTTGTTTCATGTTATCTGAGAACCCTACCTACCCAGTTTGTGCTTCTTCCTGCCGAAACCCTTCAGGTTTGCTGCAGCAGGGTTTGTTCCAGCCATGCCTCCTCCTGCCCCTGGCCTACTGCCAGCTGCAAAATGCTCATAGCACAGAAATGAGGTCACTGCCCTCTGCACTTTATTTTCTACCCTCCTTTTCCCCTTAAGCTGTCCAAGACAACCTACAGTCACTGGTATTGGGCTCTGCTCATGCTGAGTCAGTTCTGCTCATCACTTTGGGGTACAGCAGAGACACATTTGGAGGTGAGGGGAGAGAAAGAAGGAGAGAAAGAAAATGGGGGTGGAGGCCAGCCAACACTAACAGTGAAAGCTCATCAGCATCTCTGTCACTTCTCTACCATAAGGACACATGCTTTGCAAAAGCAAAACTTAGGCAGGGAACAGCTTTCTACAGACCCAGCCCAAAATGCAATCAGATATTAAGCACGTCAAGATTTAGCCTTTTCCTTTCCAAAAACAGTATTTGACCTTGCACTTGCTAGTGAGAGTCCTAAACACATCACAAAATAAAAAAACAAACTGAAAATGCGTAACATATAGCTTTCTTTCCTCAAGGGGAAGAAAAGTGGTATGGAAAAGAATGGCACATGGCAGAGGCTTCCCACAGGATTTACTGCACTCCTGGAAAGTGCTCAGCTCCCATAGTGTCAGAGACTACGTGGGAACCCCAACAAAATACTAAAACAGAGCAGGTTTTTTTCTGCAAAGTCAGAACCAAAGATGTTTGTGCTTTACCAGCAGTCTAGCAGCACTGACTTTGCAAAATTAGAAACGTTATTTTTCTACCCACATCACTGCCTTGCTATTGCAGAACACCACCAATGTCTAATCCCTGCCCAACCCATAATAATAAATAATAGTAATACTAATACTACTACTACTAAAATAATAAAAAGTATCCGTAAAAAAAAAAGATCCGAGTGACTCATTCCAAGCTAGACTCTCAACCCATGCTGCACGTTGAATGGACAAGTCCTATCTCTATCTTTAGACAACACCTTTGAATTGGGCCTATTTTTCCCTGGCTGTCACTTCACTGACAGCTATTTAGGCTAGCCTAAATAGCCTCCCCAGGCTGCACTGATGACAAGTCCCAGTCTTTCTATTTTCTGACACATTTTGTATTTATGGAGCAATTATTTTATGCACTTGTTGTACTTTGCATCAAGAATCAGGCAGGGATTCAGACCGCACAGGAAAGTGGGGTATGAGGATCTTAACACCCACCTAATTGTGTTTAGCACATTTGCCACCTCTAGGACTTGGGTAGATGGTATATTGTGAGTAACAGTAGCAGAGTTGGGGCAAGTGGAGGACTTCTCTTACTGACATGTCACCCTATATTACCTAGTCACGTTTAGGTAAAGGTGGGAGGGGACAAAGAAGGAGAGGACCTGCTGGGAGCACAGCCGGTTAGTTTTGTATTACCAGAAAGTAACAAAAACAACAGCAGTGGAGCAGGAGCCCAGACATACCAGCTCTTGCACTCTGAGTTATGAAAACAGCTCTGACTATAGCTCTGTCAACAAACAAGGGCTTTATTTTATTTTCCCTCCTTTCCTCCTCCCTTGACCTACCTCCTCCCCCAGGGTGCAAAGTTCATCTGCAAGTAAGCTACTGCGAGGGCCCAGGGAGAGGGACAACCTCCTGCGGGAGAGACATGGGAGCAAGGGTGCTCGTGGATGTTGAAGTAAGGTCAAATGAACAAATCTAAACTTAGCCCATTCCAGATCTTGGCTGTTTCATTTTGCTAAAGTTTCTGCTTGCCTTTTCAGACTCCATGTTGTATTATCACCTCTGAGTGGCAGCATGAGACAAGAGCACACGGGGAAGGCAGGGCTGCACACATGCTTGTCTCCTTGCTGCTTCCTTGCAAACGATGTTTCCCAGCAGGGACAGTGCCTGGC